CTTGCATGGATATTACTCTGGGTGAAGTATTAATGACCATTAAGGCTGGGAAGTTGGTCCACTCTGGGGGAGGATTACCCAACCTTGAGGTTACTTTTTCTTTCCAAGGTTCCGAGGATCAACGTGCCCAGGGCCCAGTCTCTGTTGTCTGACTAGGCCTCCTTTCGTGGTCTGGTCAACCAGGCAGTTGGACGCTGCTGAGATTAACATTATTATCAATAATTATCATGATAATTATTATTATCGTCATTAACAATCTTAACATTAGTAGCCAAACTTGTTTTTAAATTAACCCAAAATGTTGCAAGTAGCGAGAGTAAACATTTAGGAATGCAGGACCCAGATTCACGAAGCAGTTACGCAAGCACTTACAAACGTGTACATCTTTCCTCAATCTCCGACGGCTTTGGTTACATTTATTAAACAGTTTACAAGCATGAAAACTTGCCAATCAACTCTTTTTATTATTATAAACAGCCTCCTGGTGTTTCGGAGGTCATGAAGTGTTTAATAATTGTAAACAAAGCCGCCAAAGATTGAGAAAAGATGGACAGGTTCGTAAGTGATTGCTTAACTGCTTCGTGAATCTGGCCCCAAAGCTGTCAAAAGTAGCGCAGTTCGCTACATTTAGCCCAATCTGGTAACAGAATGTTACCAGATTGGTAACTTGGTCTGCTTTGTCTGCTTGGCCCCAGGCGTATATATATGCTTGGCGGATTTGGATTTTTTTGTTGGTGGATTATGAATTTGGTTGGTGGATTTGGATTTTTTTGTTGGTGGATTATGAATTTGGTTGGTGGATTTGGATTTTTTTGTTGGTGGATTATGAATTTGGTTGGTGGATTTGATTTTTTTTCCGGATTTGGATTTTCTTTCTTGATGTATTTAGATCTTTTTTTTCTTGGTTAATTTTCATTTTTTTTGTTGGCGGATTTGGAATTTGTTTGTCGATTTGGAACTTTTCTTTGCTAGCGGATTTGTTTTTTGTTATTGACGAATTTGGAATTTTGTTGGTGGATTTGGATTTTTTTTTTGGTGGATTTGGATTTTTTTGTCGTTGTTGTAATTTTTATGTTGTTGGATTTGGAATTTTCTTGCTGGTGGACTTGGTATTTTTTTTGTTTTTTGTTGTTGCCAGAATTGAATTCTTTTTGTTGCCAGATTTTTTTTGTTTTGTTTTTGCAGATTTTGAATTTCTTTGTTGGCGGATTTGGATTTTGTTTGTTAGTGGATTTGGATTTTTGGTTGTTGGCGGATTTGGATTTTTGGTTGTTGGCGGATTTGGATTTTTGGTTGTTGGCGGATTTGGATTTTTGGTTGTTGGCGGATTTGGATTTTTGGTTGTTGGCGGATTTGGATTTTTGGTTGTTGGCGGATTTGGATTTTTGGTTGTTGGCGGATTTGGATTTTTGGTTGTTGGCGGATTTGGATTTTTGGTTGTTGGCGGATTTGGATTTTTTTTGGCGAATTTGATTTTTTGGCGGATTTTTTGTTATTTTTTTGACGGATTTTGAATGTCTTCCAAAGTGAAGAAGCGACAATGTAACAGACACAAGGGACAACAGCTTCAAGATCAAGCAACAGTGTAGGGTAGAAAATAAGATGCTTTCTCACCCATAAGATTATAAACTCATGGAACCTCCTACCCGCCGAAGCCGGAAATGCCAAGACATTATTACTTCAGCTCAAAATCCAGTTGGAAAAAAAATCCTCAGGAACAATGGTGGACCTTTGACAGGGCGCTGGCTTTCTGTCCCCGTTGCGGCCACTAGAGACATTGTGGCATTTAGGTAAATTCAGGCAAATTTAAGCAAATACGTTAAGGCATTTTTTTGTCACGCGTGTCACAGACTCAACTAAGTAGACATTACACCTGATGCCTCTGTTCACCCAGCAGTAAATATGCACCCAGGAGTTAGGCAACTGTTGTGGGTAGCATCCTGCGGAAGATCAGTAGAGTTGGGCTATATGGAAGTCCAATAAGCCTAACAAGCGTACTATTTTCAATAAAGGTAACTAATACCTGTGTTAAATATAGAAGTATTACTAAGTTGGTCACTTGTCCGTTAGCTCAGGTGGTAGAGCGCCAGCACATTCTCTTGGACATACTGGAGGTCACAGGTTCGAGTCCTGTACGGGCTGTAGTTCTTTTGTCATGAGGATTTTGTGGCCATCATGATCACTAATTGTTGACCAGACCACACACTAGAAGGTGAAGGGACGACGACGTTTCGGTCCGTCCTGGACCATTCTCAAGTCGATTGTCTTGGACTTGAGAATGGTCCAGGACGGACCGAAACGTCATCGTCCCTTCACCTTCTAATGTGTGGTCTGGTCAACATACTTTAGCCACGTTATTGTGACTCATCGCCTGCATGATCACTATTTTATTCATTACCTTCATTGAAGTAATTATATTTACCCGTAACATGAATACACAGAGTATATACTGTTTTGTTGTATAAACAGTATGGCGTTGGTATATATGAATATATATACCGCGAGCGCTATGTCATGGGTTCGTATCCTGGCCGTATCTTTCGTATCTTTCTTACCTTAACTGTAGCCTCTGTTTAACGCAACAGTAAAATGTGTACTTGGATGAAAAAACGATTCTTCGCGGCAGGGGATCGTATTCCAGGGACCATAGGATTAAGGACTTGCCCGAAACGCTACGCGTACTAGTGGCTCTACAAGAATGTAACAACTCTTGTATATATCTCAAAAAAAAAAAAAAAAAAAAAGAATGTATACAGTGTATTGATCGTCAGGCAAGGTTCCTTTATCATAGTTTGTCCTCGTCTGCTCTCCTTGGCTCGTTTTCTCTCGTTATTTCTTAGAATCTTTCTTCAGTCTTTCAGTCTCAGTTCTTCAGTCGTAAGGGGACCTTGATAACCATAACAATATACTTATTCCTCGCTCTCTGCAGGTCTGCGTTCGATCCCTCAATGCTCAAGCAGTTGGGCACCGTTCCTTTAACCCAGCTCCTCTCCTGGCCTCATATCCCTTCCAGAGTATATTTAGGTTTTGAGTGAAATTCGAAGTTTCTCGAGTATTCCTCGTGAAGCGGGCCACCTCAGTCGATTAACAGCTTTGCACCTATTATTCACTGCTAGGTGAACAGAGGCATCAGGTGCAAGAAGACTTTACCAGTCGTCTCTCCCTTCAAGTGCTATATATAGTTATGCTGGCCTCTTGCAAGGTCGGGGTTCGATCCCAGATGGCCCAAGGCTTTGTTCCTTCATTCCGTCCTTATACCCTAGTTCCTTGTCCTCATACCCCAGCTCCTTGTCCTCATATCCCAGCTCCTTGTCCTCATACCCCAGCTCCTTGTCCTCATACCCCAGCTCCTTGTCCTCATACCCCAGCTCTTTGTCCTCATACCCCAGCTCCATGTCCTCATATCCCAGCTCCTTGTCCTCCTACCCCAGCTCCTTGTCCTCATACCCCAGCTCCTTGTCCACATACCCCAGCTCCTTGTCCACATACCCCAGCTCCTTGTCCTCATACCCCAGCTCCTTGTCCACATACCTCAGCTCCTTGTCCACATACCCCAGCTCTTGGTCCTCATACCCCAGCTCCTTGTCCTCATACCTCAGCTCCTTGTCCACATACCTCAGCTCCTTGTCCACATACCCCAGCTCCTTGTCCACATACCCCAGCTCCTTGTCCACATACCCCAGCTCCTTGTCCACATACCCCAGCTCCTTGTCCACATACCCCACCTCCTTGTCCTCATACCCCAGCTCCTTGTCCTCATACCCCAGCTCCTTGTCCTCATACCCCAGCTCCTTGTCCACATACCCCAGCTCTTGGTCCTCATACCCCAGCTCCTTGTCCTCATACCCCAGCTCCATGTCCTCATATCCCAGCTCCGTGTCCTCATACCCCAGCTCCTTGTCCTCATACCCCACCTCCTTGTCCTCATACCCCAGCTCCTTGTCCTCATATCCCAGCTCCTTGTCCTCATACCCCAGCTCCTTGTCCTCATACCCCAGCTCCTTGTCCACATACCCCAGCTCCTTGTCCACATACCCCAGCACCTTGTCCTCATACCCCAGCTCCTTGTCCACATACCCCAGCACCTTGTCCTCATACCCCAGCTCCTTGTCCTCATACCCCAGCTCCTTGTCCACATACCCTAGTTCCTTGTCCACATACCCCAGCACCTTGTCCTCATACCCCAGCACCTTGTCCTCATACCCCAGCTCCTGGTCCTCATACCCCAGCTCCTTGTCCTCATACCCCAGCTCCTTGTCCTCATACCCCAGCTCCTTGTCCACATACCCCAGCTCTTGGTCCTCATACCCCAGCTCCTGGTCCTCATACCCCAGCTCCTTGTCCTCATACCCCAGCTCCTTGTCCACATACCCCAGCTCTTGGTCCTCATACCCCAGCTCCTTGTCCTCATACCCCAGCTCCTTGTCCTCATACCCCAGCTCCTTGTCCTCATACCCCAGCTCCTTGTCCTCATACCCCAGCTCCTTGTCCTCATACCCCAGCTCCTTGTCCACATACCCTAGTTCCTTGTCCTCATACCCCAGCTCCTTGTCCTCATATCCCAGCTCCTTGTCCTCATTCCCCAGCTCCTTGTCCTCATACCCCAGCTCCTTGTCCTCATACCCCAGCTCCTTGTCCTCATACCCCAGCTCCTTGTCCACATACCCCAGCTCTTGGTCCTCATACCCCAGCTCCTTGTCCTCATACCCCAGCTCCTTGTCCTCATACCCCAGCTCCTTGTCCACATACCCTAGTTCCTTGTCCTCATACCCCAGCTCCTTGTCCTCATATCCCAGCTCCTTGTCCTCATTCCCCAGCTCCTTGTCCTCATACCCCAGCTCCTTGTCCACATACCCCAGCTACTGGTCCTCATACCCCAGCTCCTTGTTTGGGTGTCCCTAAACAACAGGAAACCATGCACTTGGGGCCTCCCAGTGCAACACAATTATTCCTCCTCGACACAAATAGACAAATTAATTGTAGGAAAATGAAAGAACAGATAATTGGAATGTCTATATAAGTTACAAGTGAGCGAATAACGTAGACAGCGCCTTAGTGATATGCTGAAGACATCATATGTCTTCTCCCTTGGGAAGGGTAGAGCCCCATCCCACCTGATGAGGGGTGGGAGAGGTACGTGGAGGGATGGGGCCAGGACCCCCATGGTGGGAGGGTATATGCCCAGGGGCACCGTGGGAGAGGCCGCTACTGGGAGAACTGAGATGACCGCTGACGCATGACCGTGCCGCGCCGTGCGGCGTTCCAACACACTAATCCGAACGGTCCGAATCGACAAGCTGCCGGCCGTCGACCGGACCTACGCTCCGGGGCGGCGGAAAACACCTGCCCCTTGGTGCCGGGGACGAATGGGCTGAGGCCATGGGCCACAGAGCGGTACAGATCAACCAGTGAACCAAGCCGGCGCGGTGGTTGCCGCTTGGCCAACCATGGACTCTCCGGCTGCGGATATCCCAGCAGGATATCCAAGCCGGCGTCTTCGGCTTGCTCTTCGATGCTGCCGGGAGGGAAGCCAAGCGTGTCTTGTGGCCCCCAGGGTACTTCGTCGTCCTCCTGGGAGTGCCAGTCTTGGCTGAGCCAGTCTCCCGTGTCGCCGGTGGCACTGGGCCGAGCTGGCCGGAGACTGGCCAGCCAGGTGCCATCGTTGCTCGGCTGCTCCACCGCCACACTCACCGCCACCACCGCAAGAACCACCGTACACGTTCTCTGAAATAGACATTAATAGGTAGAGTAATGCTTTACACAAGTGGTAACGTCTTCGCCTCACGTCTCCCCAAGATTTCGGCCGGGTTCGAGCCATGGGCAGGGAGGAAAACAAACTAATATATAACTAGTAGTAACTAGATATGCAGTAATGCTATTGAGCAAAATAAGTATTATAGTGAACCCTATAATTAGTTTAACAAATTAGACTACCTTTACCTAGTCTCTTATAGCATAATTACTCTCTATGGCAGTGCTCATACGTCAGGCTGCGAGCAGCCGCGTCTAACAGCCTGGTTGATCAGTCCAGCAACCAGGAGGCCTGGTTGATCAGTCCAGCAACCAGGAGGCCTGGTTGATCAGTCCAGCAACCAGGAGGCCTGGTTGATCAGTCCAGCAACCAGGAGGCCTGGTTGATCAGTCCAGCAACCAGGAGGCATGGTTGATCAGTCCAGCAACCAGGAGGCCTGGTTGATCAGTCCAGCAACCAGGAGGCATGGTTGATCAGTCCAGCAACCAGGAGGCCTGGTTGATCAGTCCAGCAACCAGGAGGCCTGGTTGATCAGTCCAGCAACCAGGAGGCCTGGTTGATCAGTCCAGCAACCAGGAGGCATGGTTGATCAGTCCAGCAACCAGGAGGCCTGGTTGATCAGTCCAGCAACCAGGAGGCCTGGTTGATCAGTCCAGCAACCAGGAGGCATGGTTGATCAGTCCAGCAACCAGGAGGCCTGGTTGATCAGTCCAGCAACCAGGAGGCCTGGTTGATCAGTCCAGCAACCAGGAGGCATGGTTGATTAGTCCAGCAACCAGGAGGCATGGTTGATCAGTCCAGCAACCAGGAGGCATGGTTGATCAGTCCAGCAACCAGGAGGCATGGTTGATCAGTCCAGCAACCAGGAGGCCTGGTTGATCAGTCCAGCAACCAGGAGGCATGGTTGATCAGTCCAGCAACCAGGAGGCCTGGTTGATCAGTCCAGCAACCAGGAGGCATGGTTGATCAGTCCAGCAACCAGGAGGCCTGGTTGATCAGTCCAGCAACCAGGAGGCCTGGTTGATCAGTCCAGCAACCAGGAGGCATGGTTGATCAGTCCAGCAACCAGGAGGCCTGGTTGATCAGTCCAGCAACCAGGAGGCCTGGTTGATCAGTCCAGCAACCAGGAGGCATGGTTGATTAGTCCAGCAACCAGGAGGCATGGTTGATCAGTCCAGCAACCAGGAGGCATGGTTGATCAGTCCAGCAACCAGGAGGCATGGTTGATCAGTCCAGCAACCAGGAGGCCTGGTTGATCAGTCCAGCAACCAGGAGGCATGGTTGATCAGTCCAGCAACCAGGAGGCATGGTTGATCAGTCCAGCAACCAGGAGGCATGGTTGATCAGTCCAGCAACCAGGAGGCATGGTTGATCAGTCCAGCAACCAGGAGGCATGGTTGATCAGTCCAGCAACCAGGAGGCCTGGTTGATCAGTCCAGCAACCAGGAGGCATGGTTGATCAGTCCAGCAACCAGGAGGCCTGGTTGATCAGTCCAGCAACCAGGAGGCATGGTTGATCAGTCCAGCAACCAGGAGGCCTGGTTGATCAGTCCAGCAACCAGGAGGCCTGGTTGATCAGTCCAGCAACCAGGAGGCATGGTTGATCAGTCCAGCAACCAGGAGGCCTGGTTGATCAGTCCAGCAACCAGGAGGCCTGGTTGATCAGTCCAGCAACCAGGAGGCATGGTTGATTAGTCCAGCAACCAGGAGGCATGGTTGATCAGTCCAGCAACCAGGAGGCATGGTTGATCAGTCCAGCAACCAGGAGGCATGGTTGATCAGTCCAGCAACCAGGAGGCCTGGTTGATCAGTCCAGCAACCAGGAGGCATGGTTGATCAGTCCAGCAACCAGGAGGCATGGTTGATCAGTCCAGCAACCAGGAGGCATGGTTGATCAGTCCAGCAACCAGGAGGCATGGTTGATCAGTCCAGCAACCAGGAGGCATGGTTGATCAGTCCAGCAACCAGGAGGCCTGGTTGATCAGTCCAGCAACCAGGAGGCATGGTCGACGACCGGGGTACCTATTTTACTGCTAGGTAACAGGGGCATAGGGTGAAAGAAACTCTGCCCATTGTTTCTCGCCGGCGTCCGGGATCGAACCCGGGACCAAAGGATCACAAGTACAGCGTGCTGTCCGCTCGGCCGACCGGCTCCTATTATTATCCCCGTCTCATTGGGTGGTTATAATAGGAGCTGCCTCGTATGGGCCAATAGGCCTTCTGCAGTTGTTATTCCTACTACTATCCCCTCTACTACACCTTATCTTTCTTACCTTTTACCTTGCTCCTAACCTCTCTCTTGCCTATGTATTGCCTTCATCGTTACAGCCCCGCTCCTGTGCCAGGTAAGTCCACTACGGGCTCACCATAGCCCGTGCTACTTGCCCCGCTCCTGTGCCAGGTAAGTTCACTACGGGCTCACCATAGCCCGTGCTACTTGCCCCGCTCCTGTGCCAGGTAAGTCCACTACGGGCTCACCATAGCCCGTGCTACTTGCCCCGCTCCTGTGCCAGGTAAGTTCACTACGGGATCACCATAGCCCGTGCTACTTGCCCCGCTCCTGTGCCAGGTAAGTTCACTACGGGCTCACCATAGCCCGTGCTACTTGCCCCGCTCCTGTGCCAGGTAAGTCCACTACGGGCTCACCATAGCCCGTGCTACTTGCCCCGCTCCTGTGCCAGGTAAGTTCACTACGGGATCACCATAGCCCGTGCTACTTGCCCCGCTCCTGTGCCAGGTAAGTCCACTACGGGCTCACCATAGCCCGTGCTACTTGCCCCGCTCCTGTGCCAGGTAAGTCCACTACGGGCTCACCATAGCCCGTGCTACTTGTCCCGCTCCTGTGCCAGGTAAGTTCACTACGGGCTCACCATAGCCCGTGCTACTTGCCCCGCTCCTGTGCCAGGTAAGTCCACTACGGGCTCACCATAGCCCGTGCTACTTGCCCCGCTCCTGTGCCAGGTAAGTCCACTACGGGCTCACCATAGCCCGTGCTACTTGTCCCGCTCCTGTGCCAGGTAAGTTCACTACGGGCTCACCATAGTCCGTGCTACTTGGAAATTTGTTTCCAGTAACTGAATCTTAACAACAACAACATTCCTCACCACAATCGACTTGAGAATGGTCCAGGACGGACCGAAACGTCGTCGTCCCTTCACCTTCTAGTGTGTGGTCTGGTCAACATACTTCAGCCACGTTATTGTGACTCATCGCCTGCATTGTTAACACTATCGGTAACTTTGGACCGGACTCGCCTCCATTATTTTTCTCCTGAGTCCTAATATACTTTTCTATTCCCAGCTCCATATTCTTCAATGATAGTTTGTTCTTCAAACTTGATACCTCACTATTTTAGCCACTGTGTTAGGGTAATGAAATGGGTGGCTATGATACAGTGGGTACTCACCTATGTGCAGGATCGAACGTTGGCTCTTGGATCCCGCCTTATAAGCCGCCGGTTGTTTAAAGCAATGGCTCCTGTCATACTTTCCTATTATGTCTAGTTTTAAAACTATGAATAGAGTTTGCTTCCACAACCTGCTCCTTAAGTGCATTCCATTTTCCCACTACTCTCACGCTAAAAGAAAACTTCCTAACATCTCTGTGACTCATCTGAGTTTCCAGCTTCCACCCATGTCCCCTCGTTCTGTTACTATTCCGTGTGAACATTTCGTCTATTTCCACTCTGTCAGTCTTCCTAAGTATTTTATATTTTGCTATCATATCCCCCCTCTCCCTTTTTTTTTAGTGTCGTAAGATTCAGTTCCTTCCGACGCTCTTCATATCCCATCCCTCGTAACTCTGGGACGAGCCTCGTCGCAAGCTTCTGAACCTTTTCCAGCTTCCTTATGTGTTTCTTCAGATGGGGACTCCATGATGAGGCGGCATACTCTAAGACTGGCCTCACGTAGGCAGTTTTTTTTTTTATTTTTTTTATATTTTCTACCACAGACGTGGCCACACATTTACAATGCTAACCAGCATATATATATTTTCTTCTGTCCTCCATGGACAGGGTTAGAGAAGTGTTAAAATATAGTTCAAGGGTTTATTGAACAATCAACCACAGAATGTGATTCGGTGCTTTTAAAATGCTAAGCTAACCTACATACGTAAATACATAGATACACAGATTTACGTATGCCCTACATAAAGTGTTAGATGTGTCTTTTACATAGTGCCATTAATGTACATTCACAAAGGTGAAATGTAATTCTGATCAGCTTCCATATATACTTTATACCCATACATATACATACACACACACACACACACACACACACATATACATACATATATACACACACACACATGCATTCACATACATTTGTCTCATTTACTCTGACAGGGTGAGATAGCTGATAAAGAAACTAGTGTGCAATTAAGCACTTAATCACTGAAGGTGATGAAGGTGATTTTACAAGCTCAGGTTATATAGTTACATCATATATATACATTGTATGATTGATATATTACATGGTCAATCTTGGATACAAGTCCAATATATCATCAAGTGTTCCAGTACTCATATAGTAACTACAGAGTTCAGCATACCTTAGCCCAGGAGGGGGAAAGTCAGTCAGTATGGGATAAATGCCTCCTTACTTAGGTTTCAGAATGATGTTCTAAATGTGTGTGTGTGTGTGTGTGTGTGTGTGTGTGTGTGTGTGTGTGTGTGTGTGTGTGTGTGTGTGTGAGTGTGAGTGTGAGTGTGTGTGTGTGTGTGTGTGTGTGTGTGTGTGAGTGTGAGTGTGAGTGTGAGTGTGAGTGTGTGTGTGTGTGTGTGTGTGTGTGTGTGTGTGTGTGTGTGTGTGTGTGTGTGTGTGTGTGAGTGAGAGTATTTAACCTGACTGGCTCTCGAGGTGGTGCGAAATAGTTGACATCATATTGGGCACTAAGTTAAAGGACAGCTATGGATATAGCTGTTGAAAAAATACAACTGCTTTAGTTAGCTACAAACGTAAGAAATGCA